TTATTATTATTATTATTATTATTATTATTATTATTATTATTATTATTTAGAACGGACCATGGGAAATGAATTTAGAAAAGGAAAAGTCCTAAAACGACAAATAGTTAAACAAAATTGTTGGGGAAACCTTGGGGGTGTTGATTCCTCCTCGCTGCTTCTTGAAAGAAATCTTGTAAAAATCCCTTCTAATGTTCTCATCCCTTTCAAGGGCCGCCCTGAACTAACGCCCACCGCAATTGCTTCAGGGAAGTTGTTGGCTCGGCGGTTGTTCGGCCTTTCTTCCGAACTCATGGATTACGACAATGTGAGTAAGGGTTTGGTGTGTTGACAAAATTGTCCTGTTGCCCCCAATTATTTGTACCTATTTCCTGTATTCTTACTCATGTTTACACTTATACCTATTATCTTGTAAGCGATTGACAAATCAAATAAATGAAATAAAATAAAGAAATAAGATGGCAGCTGTGGTGGACGTGATCTTGACTAGCCCATCTTGACTAGAGGTTCATTCTAACTGCAGTTGATATGTTCCTGAAAACAGACACGAGGCTATAGATTGGTTCTTTATTCATTTCCCTTCCTTTTTGGGGGGGGGGGGGTGAAAAGAATTTTTATTACGTATTATTAACAAGGATCCCTAATTCATATTCTCCAATGGGACACATCCATAGCCCAGAGTCATCAGTCATGCTATCCAGTTAGAATTTTGCACAGCAGAAACTTCAGTCACCTAGTTACTATCTTTGAAAAGCTATGTATGGAATACACTTTCGATTTCCAAGCTGCCGTACTGCTCTTTCAAACCCCTTTCCCCTCTCCCTTTCTGTTGGCAACTCTAAAAAAGACCATAGCAATACGTATATCCTGCAGGCTCAGGTTGCTGAAAATGCAAGGTGCAGGAAGACTCAGCCTCTCTGGTTAATGACTCACGGTGTGGCTTCACCTCCCACCTGCAGGTGCCTACAACAGTGTTCACCCCTCTAGAATATGGTAGCGTTGGCATCTCAGAAGAAGACGCTGTCCACCGATATGGTCCAGATAACATAGAGGTAGGCTGTTCTGGTCATATGGTGGTGTTTTCTGCTTTGTCCTTTGGGACGGAACCAAATTTTTAGAAGCATATAAATTATAAATAAAACATAAACATATACATTATAAATAAAAACCATCACAAACCACGCTGTAGCAATTAACGAGACAGGGCAGGATAAGGAATTGCAGACTTCAAAAGATAACGAAACACACACAGTTGGGAGGACACCAGAACCCAGATAAGACATTACAAACAAGGATAACGCATGCTTTGCTTCCAGCAAGGTGCTGTGTGCAAACACCCTCTTTATCCTGTTTTCCCAGCTGCAGCCCATGAAGGGGATCAGGGCCCTTTCCCCCCCCATAAACCATGTTGCTCCCTTCTCCATTCCTCCCTGCGTGCCCTAGGATGAAGTGGGCCTGGGTCTTCCTCTGAATGCCCAGCCGGACTATGCACTTCCCCAGTCTCCTCCACAGCCCTCAGAGACCGAGAGAGGGATTCAGAGGGAGAGAACGAGGAAGGGAGGGAGAGAAATTCAGACTTGCAACTTTCTGTTATTATTCCCAATCTCAATGCAAGTATTTTTGCCTTTGTGATGAAATAACAATTCTCTTTCAGGTATACCATGCATTTTATAAACCCTTGGAATTTGTTGTGGCCGAAAGAGATGCTACTCAGTGCTACATAAAAGTAAGTTGGCCTTTGTAATGTTTCTTTCGGTTCAAGGGGCTTACAATATCTAGCACAAACCCTTGGGGTCAAGCATTTTTTTCTTTTCTTTTTTTCTTTTATTTATTTAGAAAATTTATATTGCTGCCTTCTCACGCATGGTGACTCAAGGCTTTATTCCTGACCCTTCCATTTTCCCTCCTCCCCAAGGGAGAAAAATATTCTAAAATTTTCTCCTCTCCTCTCCTCTCCTCTCTTCTTCTATTCTACTCTATGGCAACTCTAAAAAGACCACAGAAATATTTTATGAAATATACACTCTACTGTATATTCTTCTCCTCTACTCTACTCTACTCTACTCTATTATTCTATTCTATTATTCTATTCTCTTCTACTCTACTCTACTCTATTATTCTGTTCTATTCTACTGTATTATACTCTTCTTCTCTTCTATTCTACTCTACTCTACTCTACTCTATTATTCTGTTCTCCTATTCTATTCTTCTCTACTTTACTTTACTCTTCTTATTCCATTGTTTCTGTTCTGTTCCTATTCTGTTCTACTCTATTCTATTCTTTCTAATCCTGGCTAGTTGCAAATTCCCTGTTCTTTGTGAATTCTTCGCAGATGGTGTGCCTGCGCGAAAAAGATCAGCAGATCCTGGGCCTTCATTTCATTGGCCCAAATGCTGGTGAAGTGATCCAAGGCTTTGCTCTTGGAATCAAGTAAGTTTCAAGAATGTCAGCCCCACATCCCAGCCTCCCCCAGCTATCTGATAAACCTGCTCTTTCAAGTCTCTCCAAGATAATAAAAAAAGATAGCAATTGCCATTTTAGCCAGACTAAATCATATCCAGTGTTTGGGGTTTCTTTTATGTTCTTATTTCCTCTAGTTTGATGAAAAAGACGGGCATCCTTTATTAATAAAAGTGGAGCTTAGGAACGGACGTATCGGCTTTTGGTTTTTATGTTTATGAAATAGGTTTCTTGGCAAAACCTGTCTTTTTTTTTGATCCCTTCCCTGTTCTGCAAAATATATATATATATATATGAAAAATTAGCTTTGTAGTCCAGCTGTTGCTGACTCTTCAAAGTGTAACGAAGGGTGGGTTTTTTTCCCATTCTTCTTTCCTATTCTCGGGATAATAAATGATCACTCAGCAGCTTTTCTTTAAAAGAGAGAGGACTAAAACCTTGTTTTGATTACGTTTCTCTTTTGACAAAGACAGAATCATTAGAGCTTTGGAGGGGAAAATATTTCAGGATTTTGCTACTCTTCAGATGTTTTATTATTATTATTATTATTATTATTATTATTATTATTATTATTATTAGGTCCATAGTCTCCTTGAATTGCAACAGTTTGTTTAGCCAACACAGCGACTCCACAGGGATTCCACCAGATAAAGCATACAAAATTCCGTGTTTTTCTTCATTTTCTTCTCTTCTGCTCTCCATGTGTCTTCTGCAGATGCGGCGCCACTTATTCTCAAATGATGCAGACAGTTGGGATTCACCCCACCTGTGCCGAAGAAGTGACTAAGTTGCACATCACCAAGAGGTCAGGCTTGGATCCGACCGTCACAGGCTGCTGAGGTTAAGCACCATCCCTGGTCAACCAGGCTGGGCAGAAGCTTCCAGAAGGAAAGGAAGGAGCACATCAACCTCTAGAGGTCCATTGTTTCAATTCTTTCATTGGCCTTTTCACAACGCCTTTCACCCAACCCCCCAAAATAAGACGCAGGTGAATTACCACTGTCCATTTAGCGATTGTTCAAAAGTTACAACAGCCCCTTTTTATTTTCCATGAACCACTTCGTGTTTTCATCTTAGCCAGAAGGTGGAGATGCTGGCTAAGATATTAGCCTGGGAGTTAAGTGATATCAAATGATAATAACGCCAGCAGGATGGCCATCCGCGCCGATTTCTATTGGATCAGGATGACCAAATTTCTAGTTATGTTTATTTCCAGTACGATTAAAAGGTTATCTGAAAATGAATCTCTACTCACCCCAAGGTGTGTACAGCTTTATGCACCGCATTAGAATAGAATTCTTTATTGTGAATTTATTCCAAGTGTGATTGGACACACAAGGAATTTTGTCTCCGATGCATAAGCTCTCAGTGTACATACAAACAACAAGTGATAAATCACAATCAGTCATCGTAAAAATGCATTCATCATGAATCACAGGATACAACACTTAGTGATAGTCATAAACAAGCAATCTACATAAATCATACGAGGATACTGAATAAGACAATATAAATTGTAAGAGACAAGCAACAAAGTTATAGTTGTAAGAAGGTAAGGAGATAGATAACAGGAAAGATGAGAAGAATAGTAATGCAGCCTTACTAGATAGATTGACAGTGTTGTGGGAGTCAATTGTTTAGCAGAGTGATGACGTGGGTGGGTGGGAACTGTCCTTGTGTATAGTTGTTCTGATGTGCAATGCCCTAGTGTTGTTTTGAGGGTAGAAGTTGAAACCGTTTAGGTCCAGGGTGTGAGAGGTCTATAGAGTAGAGTAGAGTAGAGTAGAGTAGAGTAGGGTAGGGTAGAGTAGAGTAGAGTAGAGTAGAGTAGAGGAGTAGAGTAGAGTAGAGTAGAGTAGAGTAGAGTAGAGTAGAGTAGAGTGAAGATAGAATAGAATGAATAAGCATTATTAGAATAAGAATTATTAGAATTAGAATTATTAGAAATAGAAATAGAGCTGGAAGGGACCTTGGAGGTCTTCTAGTCCAGCCCTCTGCTCAAGCAGGAGAACCTATACTATTTCAGATAAGTGACTGTCTAATCTCTTCCTAAAAACCTCCAGTGATGGAGTGCCCACGATTTCTGAAGGCAACTTCTGTTCCACTGATATTTTCACAGCCCTCTTTCTGGTTCCTGCAGTATACAGGCCCTCAATGGAAGGCAGGCTGGAGGAAAAACAAGAGAAAAAAAAGAAATAATAACATATATACTAGTAACAATACCTAGCAATGGTGCAACAGAATAATTTTAACTAAATTTATCTTTATGTTAGCTTATTTGTAATCCTGTTGGTTATATTGGCATACTTATAGTTATAAACCATCTTTATGTTTAGTTCATACATAACAATAATCTTTTTTTTAATCTGATTTCTACCTCTTATCTCTAACCACTCATAAAATCTATCCCATGTTAGATAATATTCTGTATCTCCTTTGTCCTTTATTTTTTAATGTCAATCCAGTCCAATGTTTTCCGAATTAACATCCTCATCTGATGGAGTGTTCTCATTTTTCCAATATTACGCAAACATAATCCTCGCTGCTCTCAATACATGCATGCAAAACTAGGTATATAGTCCCTTTATCGTAGCCCTCTGGCATTATGCCCAACAGAAATATTTCTGGTTTCAGATCTATATGTTGCTTAATCATCTTTTCCAACCGTGTCTGGAAAGATTTTTGTCTATAGGTGTGAAACAATGAAGAATTCAGCTTGGAAGAATCCCCAACATGTCACTCTTGGTTTGGAATGGCCAACTCTTTGGGAAACCATCTGCAACTACCCCAGCAGTGCTTTTTCAAGAAGCAACTGGTTTTGCTTGTTTTGCTCGAAGACGTTTCGCTTCTCATCCAAGAAGCTTCGTCAGTTCTAACTGAAAGGTGGAGAGTTCATGATTCTTCAGTTAGAACTGAAGAAGCTTCTTGGATGAGAAGCGAAATGACTTCAAGGGGGAAAAAAACCAGAAAGTCCAGCTGCCTCTTGGTGTATGTGAAATGAACCTACATTCCCTCTACCCAAGTCTCCCATTGAAGTCAATATCCTTATGCTGCCAATATTTATTTATTTTTAGAGTCACCAGACCAACTCCTTTGAAAGCCTTCTTCAAACCGATCCCATTTCTGGAATGGTCACCCATGCTATTTATTGCATCATATGAAGACACCTAGACGGATGTGGATGAGCTGGAACTGGTGCCAAAGTAGGGGTAGATAGACACCAAAAAGATCTGCTTCCTTTTCTGTGAAATTCTGCCTTGTGCCTTCCAGGGATGGTTTATTTCCAACCACCACCTCAAGCAGCCTCGCGTCGATGCCAAACACCCAACCAAACATCGCAAGAGATTTCCTGGATGTGCAGATATTTGTGCATCTGAGAAATCCACGCAAAATCACGGGACACCGGCCAATGACGACTTGTGTATAAATCCACTCGCTGGAGTAGACAGGTCTGATGCCTGCTGGTTCCTTATTGAGCTGAAGGAATTACGTTGGAATTGATGGCAGGCAATTTAATAGAAGGATTAAAAATAGCTTTCGGCTAAATTTGTAGACGGTTGTGGTTGATTTGGGGTAACTTTTCCTTTCCCCAAAAGTCAAAAGTAAACTGCATTTTTTTTTCTCTTCCAGTTTTTTTTTTCCTTCTGTCTCTCCCATGTATGTTTAGTTTTTTTTTTTCCCCCAGTACTGTAGGGCAGCAAAAAGCTAAACCGTGGCTATGAGATTGGTCCTTTCAATCTTGATTTTATTATTAGCATGTGTGTTTGCAAATATTGAGCAGAAACGTGCAGCTCCCATGCCAGGGAATTCTTGCTAAAGTTTTCGGCTAAAAGTTAACATTTGGTGTTAGCTTATTGTCCTGAAAGATTAGCCTCCACCCTAAGGAAATGCTGTATCACAACCAAATCGAGACCTAGTTTGGTCTAGTGGTTAAGGTGCCAGGCCAAAAGGCAGGAGGTTTTGAGTTCTAGTCCTGCCTTGGGCCTGAAAACTAGTTGGGTGACTTTGGACCAATCACCAGGAGACAGTGAGTTCTAGTCCTGTCTTAGCTACAACGAAAGACAGCTGGGCGACTTTGGGCCAATCACTAGGAGACAGTGAGTTCTAGTCCTGTCTTAGGTATGAAAGCCAGCTGGGTGACTTTGGGCCAGCCCCTCTCTCACAGCCCAACCCACCTCGCAGGGTTGTTATTATGGGAAAAGAGGAGGAGGATATGTGTCAGATATATTCACTGCCTCAAATTATTTATAAAAATAATAAAGGCAGGATAAGCCTATAACTCAAATTCACAACAGTGAGCATCCCTAATCAAAGAAATCTTGTCCAACCTCACAGGATCGCCTTGTGTATTTGTGTATGTGGCGGGGGGAGGGGCAACTGGATTGGTCTCTTTCGTCCATTTCTGTTGTCTCTCTCCGTCCCATCCCTTTCTTGAAAACTTTTCAGCAGTCAACGGTGAGAAACCTTCACGAGAAGAAGCTTTGGAGGCACTGTTTCAAAAACATACTCGCCCACGCTCACCCCCTCAGGGTGACAACCGGGACAGGCGTTGATGCAATTCCTTTGATCTAAGTCTGAAAACCTGCCTGCCAGATGTCAGGGAGTTAATTGTGGCTCTATTGTGCCCCATCTTAAGTCAATATTGTCAGCTATTATTCCTCTTAATCCTCTAACATCATGGTTTAACGATGGGCCATTGGAGATGTCCCCTTCAGCGCCTCTTTGGGTTCACCCTTTTGCGGCAGGCAGCGGGAACATGAGATTGCGTAGGCAGCGTGAGGCATTTGGCTGAGCTACCTTTATTCTTGTGGACAGGGAGTCCTCAACTTACAACCAATTTGTTTAGTGACTGTTCAAAATTACAACAGTGTGGAAAAAATGAATTCCCCAACCAGCATGGAATTGAGATCCATGCATCTTAATATTGTCAAGTTTGAAGAACACAGAACTAGTCCAACCCAGTAATATCTATACCTCTATATCTGTACCTATATACCTCTACTGTATATCTATCTATCAAATTATATATGTATATATGTTTTCATAGATTTTCACGGGTACAGGTATATAGGTCTAGGTGTGTTCAGGTCTTTTCCCGTGTAAGATTAAGAGTATCTTGGTGACGTTTCGGCACGGTCCCACTCGCCATCCTCAGGCTGGTGCTTTCGGCTCCGTGCCAGTGCAAGCAGAAGCCGAAAACACCAGCCTGAGGATGGCGAGTGGGACCGTGCCGAA